GGATTGATGACGTTCCAGAGACTTTCGCACACAATATAATTCGTCAGTTTTAGTTCATTTGCCGGAAAATGTCATCGTATCTTTCCTTCGGTTTTCACCCCTCTCTGCTCACAGTCTTTTGTTAGTTTTTTTGTTATGATTAATTTTGGAAAAAAATGAATGACATTTTAAGTGCATTACTTTGCTTCATTTTACTTCACTTCACTTCACTTTAGGCGGATTTAGTTCAATTTATCAAAAACAAAAAATAAACGAACGAAAATAAAAAAAGGAGAAAAAACAGTACAAAAACGGTTCTACCCTTACATTGAAACTCAGATGCTTTGTGCTTAAGACGAATACAGGGACGGTAAACATAGACTTGGCAACCACCTTACAAGGAATTCGTTTTAAAATCTGATTTCAATAGCTAACGTAAGGTACGCTTTCACAGACTTGGCGAGAAATGCGCACCAAAAAATTCATATTTGTGGTAAACCAACTAATCGATTTCGACAAGTTGGCTTTTCAGCAACAGGATTGATTGAATAATAAACTGCCTTCCTGAAATCGATTTTACAATAAAAATCGTTTTCTTCTAGGCTAACGCTATATGTTCGCAATTGGACGTCTTTGCCAAGGCACGCAACAAGATCTAATTGATAACTTCAATCATCCCCAATGCTATACTAGTAGCAATATTTTGTCGGCCATGTTGCGGTATTGCAAACGACATTTGCCGGCCCGCATTGCTCTCTGTTTGGATACAAATCGCAACTATTTCTTTTACAATTTCTTGGTACAAATCACAAGTATTTGTACGGTGATCCAACGGGACTTAGAATAAAATATTGATTAATAAAACTTTCCAATTGCTCGGAAAAGTTACCTGGTTACATGCCAAATTTTAGGGAGCAAGGTCACTGCGTAAGCTTTAAAAGGAACATGCGAAAACGTGAGGTGAATGGAACATGCGTGAGACTTGAGAAGTTATTTCCAGCTCAATTTTAAGCTTAACTTCTGTAAATGGCTACATATCTGTTTGACCACGTTCACTTCTTATATCAATTATTAAAGAATTATTAGTCAAAAAAATCGTCATTTTTGTCAATCATTCTAATCAATAATGAATTAACCAAATCTTCTAAGAATATGGGGGTCTTAACCTCTCTTCTCTTGATTTTAGAAATCATTCCTGGTAGCAACGCTGTAGCTCTCTTTGTTCAAAGAAGAAAGTCGGTGCGCCATTCTAGTTTCTGAATGTGCGCGTAAAAAGCTGCAAAAAAAAATTTTGTAAACCTAAATGTTCGTAAATTGTTGTTGAGCACTTTGCTCTTGTTCTTCAAGATGCCGTCAATCACTCATCACCATTTATTTAATACAACGTATCACACCATTGATATGTATGTTTTCCACTATTAAAGTCAATTTCATTTGCACTGTTTTTATGGTCATCGTCCGTGAATTGTTAGCAAAATTAATTATTCTGAAGTGAATTGAAATAAATTGAAAGAAACGCAAACATTCCCTTTCCATTGGTCGAAGCAATCGAACAAAAACTTGTTTTTATCTTCTATGTATTAACACGTCGGGTGATGATTTGGGTTATCGTTAATAGTGATTAACTTTCATGATATTCGTTATTTAGAAATCGTGCAGAAATTTTGATTGCATTTCAGATTATTTTACAAAGCAAATCGCAAATAAGTTCACTTATTAACTTTACTACGCTTTATCAGTGTGGATGCAATTTGAAGAGCCTCAGTCTTTTGTTTTTTAGTATTTAGTTTAGTTTTAGAGATTGATCTCATCAACTTAACCTTTCGTGTTGTAACTTATTTAAAAAGAATTCTTTGCCAAGAAGAATCCTTTCATCTAACTGTATTTTCTATTGTTTCTATGTTTTCTTCTTCTACCTTTCCGCTTCACCTCTGCACATCAAAAACATAGTTTGTTAATGTGTGATAGCAAAAATGCTGAAAATTTTATGCAATAATCAATTTGGGAGGAAATAAATAACCGGCCACCAACATGTTGCAATCGGATCTGTTTCAAATATAAATCAAAACCATATGTTTGTATCCAATGCAAGTACATACGTTTAGGATTAAAATAAACAATTTTTGACCATAAATAAGCCGGAGAGAGAACAAACACAACCCTTAAACATTAAACATCTTGTTGCAATGACATAAATGTGCTATTGCAGCATATTAAAAAAGGCACATATAACATGCTTGAGTAGCATATAGGATATTTAAAAAAAAAAAAAAAAAAAATATTGATATAAAAGCAGATGGTTGGCAGACGGACAAATTTTGATTTTGAAGTTGGTGAAAAGGGGAAAAAAGACAACGAACAACCCACAGTGTTTTTTTTTGTGCAGTTTTTACCAAAAAAAATATACAAATAAACAATGAAAGAGAAGGGAAAAATCGTACAGAATAGAATATGCCGAAACTGAAAATAAAGCCGATGATAATGCATTATCATTGTGGCTATGTTGAAGGGTCATTCTTATATAACAAACAAATAAAAGCAGCTTCAGCAAATATGAAGTTAATGAAGATGGAACCGATGCTTACACACGAATATGAAAATAGATCACACAGGGAGCTTGCCCTTGAAATTGAGCAAAAGCCAATGTTACACCGTCCCGCTTGGTTGCTTGCTTCCTTTTTTAAATGAATGCTTGGTGCTCGCCAGGCCATCGCTATGTAATGTGTAATATTGGAGAACGTGCGTTATTTAAAATTATTCACTGAATCTACGTTTCCCAACTTTTGTGACTCGATGAAATACCTTCCTTCACAAAGAACGCTTCTTGCGTTGTTTTTATTAATTTCACAAAATGTACCAAAGTACTTAAATTAATTTGAAGCTGATACAAATGCGATTCCAAGGAGAAGGAAGAAAACAGTTTAACATCGCCAGCGTACATAGACATGTGGCTGGATTTAATCAGTGACCGGAGATCATTGATACGTACCGGCTATCACAAGAAACTCATCCGAAGTGATAGAGTTAGAAAAAATCCTGAATGATCTGAATGGTAATGAACATAAACGCTTATCCATTTCAATAAATACGAAAGGAAGCCAGAGGCCTGGAGATCAATTATTAATGATTAACAAAGTTAAACGTTTTACTAAAATCAGTATTTACGACATCCGTGTGAGAGCCACTAGAGAAAGCCTTGAAAACATGGCAAGTAAACGCTAAGGGATTCATAAGCGTTGATCTTCCTCTCCAAAAGCTACGCTAGAATGGAGAAACATAAGATATGCTAGCAAAACCTACATGCTGATTAACTTTTTAGCTCAAACCATTTATGTTGTCAATGCCTCAATAGTTCTCAACGTGATGTCTGCTTCCACATTTGTGAAGTGGAATAAGAAAACTTCCCTTCCAGTACAAAGCGAATGCGTCTGATTTCAAGGATTGATTAAAAATCATTGAAATAAAACCATATAGCTCGTCAGAGATCGAGTCTGCGATCTAATATGGATAATTAACAGGCAAGTCGGACTCAGCAGTTGAATAATTTCGTCGGAAGTATTTAGCGAAGAGATTTGAGGTTTCAATATCACCAGAGGATTCGGATCTGTTAAAAGAAGCCTGTAAGGGATACATGAAGATTTTTCTTTTGGAGCTAACAAACTTATATAATATTAACAAGCAGTGAGGATTTTATCAACTAGCGGCATCTGCAATGACTTTATTATATGATATGTTTTAAATCCGCGCCTTGCAGCAGTAAGTGAATTCAAGTCCCCAACGCTATGACTATATCAGTAGATTTAGACTTTTCGGCCACGTTACAAATGAGGGCGGCACGTTTCAACCTATAAGCAGCTTTTTGCACGAATGGCAATAAATTCAACGTCGAAAGGAACAGGAAATTCAAATGAATAGAACAGGACTGCAGTAGATGTGGCAATTAAAACACCATCAGCAGTGCGATCCAATCGATTCTTTCTGAAAACCTAGAAAGAATTGTGAAAAAGTTCCGTCGAATGTAAATCAGGCTTTATCAAAGTTTCACTGAAAGTCAAACAAGAAAACTTCGTGCTTACTGAATTTGTGTAAGAAGAACAAATTTTTGAGTTTAGGCCCCTAACTTTATGTAAATGATAGTTACTGGGTCTGAAGAAACATTTAGTTTCTTGAGAGCGGAAGAACTACCGAATTAATATTACGGGGTTGCTCAGGAAGAATGAATCCTTTTATTAAGGATCCAACTCATCACAATGGTTTATTTAACGAAATTACTATGTTTTCAGCTGGAATAGAACACCTTGAAGAGCGGGATATCACTTTATTATTAAGATGGAGCCAATTGGAAAATGCTAACATGCTTCAAATGGACGGATGGGACTTTTACGACAAGCTAATTTCTATGTTGTCGGAAGAAAGAAGGCATCAGTATTGACACGAATATTGCCTTTTCGGGGTATATTGTCAACCAGACGTCATTCGTATTAGGAACGTTAGGAATCACGGGTAAAGAACTTTGAGTTGAGACAGGACCAACCTAATCCCTACCATTTATACTAGTACTTTTGGTGTGCCAGTAACACTCACAAAGCCAGCTGGTAATGAAGCTTTCCAATTCAGGGCCACCTTTAACATGAAGTGGTGACGTCTTATTGACAGACAAAAAGCAAGAAAATTTTATTAAGTATTTGCAGTGTAACAGCGAAAGCAGCAATAAATTTAGCAAACAGTAAGAAAGAATAAACTAAACACAGAGTTGTTTGGAAAAAACACAACAAAGCAACCAAGCAAAAATAAAAAACGAGAAAATGATAAAAATAGTGAAACAAAGTGAAAACAAAGAAAGACCTTAAATAACGAAAAATTCTTAAGCCTACAGATCCACTAAAACCTTTATTTAAATATCATCAACCCCAATCACTTAAAGGACAAACAAAAAGTTAGTCCCGAATAACAGCAACAAAAAAAGGAGAGAGAAAAATACACAAAGTGCCAGTAGCAGAGAATAAAATGATATCACGATGCAATAGCGATTCAAAATATAGAATTGCGCAATGTAATTTACCACTATTTACAGCAAATTAGGCTTTACTAAGTTCTAATAATCAACTAAAACAAATAAATTAAGAAACATTTGTAGAAATATACAAACATACGAAAATAACATGTCCGCAATGAACGCGCAGTGTTGTTAAAAATTTTCATTTTTCGAAACGAGATAATCTGCTTAAAAGACCTATTAAATGTCTCAAGAAAATTATTTTATCGCAAATGTGAGTAAAAATTCCAGTAAGCAATAAAAGATACTTTGAATAGCATATAGTCTCTCTCGATCTGCCACGAGCTAAATGCATAGAAACTTTATTCTCCCTGAGCGACATACTCGGCGGGGCTCTCGTTGAGTGTTTCCCATATTTACAAAATTCAGGAATTAGTGAACTTTGATCCTTGAATAACGTTAGCCGTAAAAATATAAAAAGAACTCTTGTTTTTTTGCTTGTGTACGTATCCATGCATAAGCAGAAATTTGTTAGTGGTACGGCTTTCCACAAAGCAGACTTTCCTGATTTGTTGTTTTGTGACTCTTCATCAACATAGTAAAACTAGAATTAGGACATTTTATATTGTCATTGACGTGATCCCTAAGCAAAGGTATAAGTACGTATATATGTAAGTTAATGTAAAACATGTGGTATTTCTCTAAAATTGCAATGACTTTTATGTATATGTTGGTAATCACCTGCAGTTATAAGCTAAAGTGAAGATGTACTTTAGTAGATGCCATAGTTGTTTTGAAATTGAAAACCGCAAAAATGTTCCTTTCTTCGGCATATTGGCAGCTACAATATTTAGCCATTTTTATACACCACATTAAAGGATGTTCTTACAACGAGTTTTGTTATTATTTTAATAACATCTGATATTAGTTTTGAAAATCTTACTCGTTTGTAGTTATGGGATGGTGAAACCTGACCTATGGCCATCATTTGGAAATGTATAAGCTACGGTCCAGTTGCCTATCCCAATCAATTTTTACGAGCCTACTCAATCAAACAGCTTACGGTATACAGACCAAAGATTAAATGGATGAATGGATGGGCTACATCTTTGTATATAATTTTTCGCAGATGAAAAATATTTCATAGGATCTCTGAGGCGTATTTCTTAACGTTACGAATGTAATAATAAATCTAATTCATCCAATTCTTCCAATTTTTCTTTGCGATGAGTTTTAACTTACCGGAAGATTCTCGACTACTCAAAATGCTGAATTGATATTTCTGCAAATTTTTTTTTCTTCTATATGGAGGTTATTATTCAAGAGAATATGTTTCCTGTTTCTGCATCACAGTGATGGTCACGAAGAAGTGAGGAAAGGGAGCTAGGGATGTTGTGATCGCAACTTGCTGGATGTCTACCCAATCAGCAAATGTTATGCCTTTACTTGAGATTTGAAGACGCAAACACTGAATTGGTAGTCACAATTGTCAACTATACGTTTACTACCGCGGGGAATTGATGTGAGGCTGCCGTCCAACGCCTAGAGAGATGGCTGAGCCCCTCATAAGCCGTATTTTGTGTTTGTGTCTTGTGCTATGGAAATCATTCTCAACTTGTTCGAGGGTCGGCCGGTAATGTATATATCTCACATACATATAAAAGGTTTTAGTAACATATATTTCCTTTTTCTTTATTTACATACGGGCACGATATCGGACTTTCAGAATTTTAAGAAGAACAAGACTAGAGAGTAGGCCTGGTTAAATGGAGTTGGAATAAATTCGGCAAACGGAATAATCAACTGAATATGCTTGTAGTTTGTTGGTAAGTGTAAAAATGGGACCAGAAGTGTGTGAACAACTTACACAAAAGGAGTTTCTATGTATTTGTCTGGGTCGGTGTTGTGCTTTACAATCCTTAGTATTTTAATCCTTTTCACCTGTATACAACTGCATACATTTGACTTTTTGCCTTTGTCTTTGCCTAGTGCTGTGTTTCTGTTCCTATCCTTAATGCTTCATATATGTGCACTCTTCACCTCTATCCTTGTGGTTGCCCCCTTGCGCTCTTCCATCTTTTTTATGGTTGCAATACATTCGCAGTTTGTGTTTGTGCTGCATATTGCATTTCTTGCGTAACTCTTCCCCTATTTCCCTTCTAATGTTATTCAATGTTTTCCTTGTGTGGCTGCGCATATGTACTGCTTTTTCTTGTTTAATTTAGCTCTATCCATCCTTCTCTTTTCATTCCCAGCTCAATCTATTTCTAAACATTTTTTCAGTATTTACTTCTTGACAATCAATTTCAAGTGAAAGCAATGCTTACAATTACATAATAACTGAATTGAGATCACAAAATCCAAGATATGTGAAGCTAATTGCTCCATTATAATCTTTTTAAGACGAATTTCCACCGAGCGGGTAAAAGTTACTGACAAAGGTAACAGCGTCTGTTCACGTGTTTATGTCACACACAATGATTATTACTTGCATTTAATCAAAAGGTTGTCTTTTTGTAGATTACATTCAGTTTCCAAATACTTCGAATTCGTAAAACGCTCAAGTTAACATGCTCATTTTGTTTATAACTTTTCGAGAATTACGCGAATTTGAATTTTATAAAACATTGAAGTTATAAACAATTGCATTTTCGTAAAGAGAATTTTTAAGAAGGAGAATGGTTTGTCATTTCTTACGCATAGACAAGTTTGTCATTAGGAAAAAATTACTCATTTTTCATCAAAAGGTAAACTTTATCTGCCGCTCCTACTAGGAACACGAAATCTGAGTGCAGCTCTTGTTCATCCAACTTATACCCAGCACTGACCTAATCTTTGAACGCTTTGTCAAAATTGAACAGGATCGTAAATGTTTAATGGCCTTAAGTGAATTGCTATAAATATGTAGAATACTTTAAATAACGAAGAAAATGTTGCAGATCGGTGTGGCAATTAGGGTGTGGTTCCGGACTTTTCGGTTGGCTAATATTTACAGGTTTCGAAGAACAGAGTTTTTCAACAATTTTTTTCCAAATTTTGGATTTGGTTTGTTTATTTATTTACTTTTCTGTATCTTCTTTGCATTGTTTGTAATTGCAAAGAAAGAGAAGCCCAACTTGATGGAAAGGGACCAAATGCCTTCAACTCAAAACGCTATCGTCTCGTCTTCATCTTTCGCGTCGTAGCTCGATGAATGGAACCATAAGCCGACCCCAGGTTAATAGCATAAACACATCTAAAACATAGTCTATTGCATAAAATAGGCAATTTTAAATGATTCACAAATACATGAAAATCTTTTTTTACACTTTAAAACCATCGAAATTAGCTTCTTTATTTCCGTAATAGTAGCCCCACTCTTAAATAATTTTGTCAAATGCATGGATGTCAATCAAGTTCAAAATTAACCTATGATCCTGAAACAAAAATTTTACTTTCCCATCCAATACTATCGATTATATCGCTGGGTGCACAGGCGCCTCGATATTAGCGATAGAGCGTTATTCAGAACTCAGTCTTTGTTATTTGCCTTTCACACATAAATCGTGGCCTCAAGACAGAGGCACACATGTGCAACATCTCGTTATGATCGATAAATGATTAAATGAAGTACTCCATGTTCACTTATTTTCCATGAAACTATTTGAAATAGTTTTTATACAATATTTAACAGACATAAATCATTCAAGATTATTGCAGTGAGATCGTTTTGATATTTTTTTGGTTTGACAGGTGAAGTGTACGTACCGCTCAATGCTGTTGAGTAAGACCAGTAATTTCAACGAACATATTTTCATCTGTCCTGTAAAAAAGAAGACTTACGTCCTGTAAAGAAAGGCAAAAGAATCATATAATAAAAAAAGAAATACATAATTAAGAGGGCAAAATGGGAAAAGCCGAAGTTTATATAGGTGTATACGGTTAAGATGGTAAGAAAGTCTAAGATAATAAGTCATGCAAATGTAGACAACAAATCGATCTCTAAGAGGTTGGAGAAAAATTTTTTGAGAACCAGGAAACAAAAAACCATGAGTCGATATAGCAGAGACAAAAGTGAAGCTAGAACTTCTAGATTAATCCCGTCAGACAGACGTAAACAATGAGAAAGAAAACACACTGTCTTCACATCTTATAATTGATATCGCCATGTTGTCAGAAATATGGGGGAAAAAAAATGGTGGAGAACATTACGAGTAATCTATATTATGCAAATTTTTCTCAATAAATACTTTTTTTAAGCGAAAAAATTCTCAGAAATTAATGCAAACACCTAATATTATAAACGACTCTCAATATAAATAGCCTGTTTTAAAAAGCATTTGTAAGCCAATTACATTTACTTAGGACCAAAAGCTATATAAACAACAACGACACACGACAACAATAACACACAGTAGCAAGAAATCACATGCAACAGACAAAACTATGACAGAGACTTATGTACACAAACAACTCGTTATGAATTCAATGATATTGACGTCGACGACAAGGATAAAAGCCTACTTAACCCTTTCTGGTGTTGTGGATTATTACGAACGAATGCAGTTATTCAAGGTATGGAAACGTGAACGAATGAGTGAGTAAAGGTATTGCGAAAGGCAAGGTGGCATTTTAAATAGCATTCAATTATCCATAAAATCAGTCGGTATACACTGTATTAACAATTTATCATCCAAATCAACCCATCAACGGTAGCACAATGCGATAAACATAATTCCACGCAGACAAACTGAGAGAGACAGACCAAGTCGAGAATACGAAAAGTAAGACGAAAGCGTTTCATTTAATCCTGGAATTTTGTCATTTGCTAATATATATGTAAATTGTATAGTTGACGCGTTTTAATATTTAATAGCTGCCTTCCAAAACAGAATTGGAGAAAAGAATGATTCTGCTCAAGGGATTTGATATAAAGAAGCACAAAAATGTTGATAAATGTCTCTGCAACTCTGGCAGACATTTGTTATATTCTTAAGCCTTCACTTACGATATTTTATACATGCTTACTTGAAATTCCGACGTTATATTGATGATATTGTGACAGCACTCGGTTTCAATGATAGTAAATTTTAAATAGCATCAATTGTTAAATTGTAATGTGCCAGTAATCATTCACCACAGCTCCTTACGTTTACTTATACACAATTCTTGTTGTCTGCCGCCTCTAGATACACTAGACACACGTATTTATTTCATGCAACTGGCCAATAAACCACATACATAAATATATGCTTTTGGTGGGTATATGGGATAGACAAACGTACATAAGAAACAATTGTAGGAGACACAGGGGAGGTTAACCCAAGCAACGAAAGCCAAATAATAAATTTATATAAGTTTTTCTACGTTCTTCATTTTCTTTCTTTCTGCTTTGTTTCCTGCCTCCGAGGAGAATCAACAAATACTTATATATGTATAAAAAATATTATTGAAATTGTTGCAAAATATCAGTTTGTGTTTCTTGAAATTGCAATTCAGTACAAATCGTCGTCGGCATATTTATTTAAGAAAATTCAGTCGATTCAAATAGCTAAGAAGAATAAAGAACCGCCGGAAATAATATAAAAGATGAACGTTATCGCGTAAATAAGTCGCAGACACCAAGAGAAAATGATGAAAGGCAATGAGAGACAGACATGGGGACAGTTAAAAAGGCGGGGAAGAGTGCTTATTGAATTAATGAACCAAGACTAGAAGTCGAGATCTCTCAATCGAAGCTAAACCCAAAAATTATACTTTATTTCCATTGAACCATTTACAACGTTTTAGGTAGGAGACATAAAGGAGAATAAACCCATGCAGCATTGAATCAAAAACAAAAAATCCAAGCAGCGTTAAAAATTGCAATCTTTCACGTTAAGTTTACTTCCCTCGTTTCAGTTTCTCTAAGTTTGGAGTTGCAAGGTTCAGCTCTCTGAGACGCTCTAACATGGTTATCACCGACGGCTGTAAGATTCTCTTTTTCCTTTACATTTCCATTATTTATCAGAGCGGACGGCTTGAGAAATGTATACAGTAAAGCACAATTTTGATTCTTCCCTTATAATGTTTTTGTGAAAAATCATTTTTGCATTACAAATTTGGAGTCACAACTTCAATCGTGGGCAAATCTTGTAGACACGTATGTTATTTAAGGTTTGAACTTCGATAAATTAAGAGGCTAAAAGAAACTCATATAAACAAAAAAGATAAAATTCGCAAACAAACAAAAAATTAAGTTCTCCTGCAAAAGAGCTTTAACGCTAAAGTTAAATCTACACAATTTGTGTGTCCGATTTTAACGTCCTTACGCAAGCCTTCAAGCGGAGCCGTTATTTGAACTACTCATTTTCCCTTATGCCAAATATATAAACAACATTTCGTCAAATTTGGAAAAATAAATAAACGAACTACTTACATAGCAACTCATACTTTATGAAACATTACGAACATTTAGTTTAATAAAAGCAAAGGGAAACTGAATAAGAGAAAAACGAGAAAGTAATAGTCATGCAGCACTCATATATAAATAACCTTTAAGACCCTGATTGCATGTGTATACACGCGTAGACATTAGAGTATACATCTAACACTTGAGTGCACTTGTGTAGAATGTTGTTAACTAAAATGCAACCCCGGATTGTTTGTGTTCTTACTCCAAAAAAAAAAAAAAATGCAAAATAAATATCATTTAAGACACTAAGACACGCAGTTGTCCGTACGTAGAGCAACTCCTTTCAATCCTTCTACCTTTTTGTTAACTCGAGAACATTGAAACTAATGCTTGTACGAAGTGTAGTTAGTTGACAACGTATCGTCTCAGAAAAGCTTAGACAGCGAAATGTACTTAATTTGTAATGCTTCCATTTTCTTTGCAGAATCTTTTTAACTGCTACAATTGGAAACAAGTAGTAATGACCATACCGGTGTTACATGTAAAAGGACTTGAGATAAGTTTTGATTTACGAAATTGATGTTTTTGATAAAAGCTGTTGCTTAATTTTTTGAGGCCGTATGCAAGCATGTTTTGGTATTTAGTTTCTTTTGTTGTCTTGTGTCTTTTATTTATTTATTAATTTCAATTAAATTTGTTACATTCGTTTGGAAATTGAAACATACTGCACACCAAGATGGATGTGAGCATATGCTGTGTAAAGACAATTACTGCGGTTGATTTCCTTTCATATATTGTCACTAGCTTAACGATAAATGGTGACGAAAGCTCACTTATATACATATGATGGGAAGCAATCAGTCATAGTGTCAGTTGCAAGTATGTTCATTATTATTACTAAGCAGAAGTGTATGCGCTTGAAAGAAGACACCAGGGACAGAGCAATTTCCAAACATAAACACACAAACATTAAGGAAAAAGCGTCCATCTTTAAAAATTTAATTTCGAATGATGTCAAGGCGTAAAATACTCTATATTTACAAATTTTATAAAAACATTCCAACCACAATATATTAGATTTAATGTTGTTCATTGTGAAATTCGCAAATACGCCTCAAAGGCCCTATAGATATTTATATATTGGTAGGTACATAATCTCTATTGGCTCGGGATAAGGACAGTCTATCCATCTACTCGCCTACTTTGTGTTGTCGAATAATACAAACTTGCAAAAGTACAAATTGTTCAAGCATGCCATACATACTTTGAAGTTGAAAGTTTCGATGGATAGAAAGTTGTGTTGTCTAAAAGAACTTAAGCTTATAATCTTTAAATGATTTTAATCTACACATATCTTATATACCAATGCCGAGAGAAATAACTTTTTAAGGCCTATGTAAAAAATTTGTACGCCCATGATTACCAAAACAATTCACGTATTAGTTTAGAGTAAAAAGTTCGCCGTAACGCATTTATAGCTTTTTACAGCACAATAATATCCCTCATAGCTATTATAACACATCACTGTGCCCACTCTTTGCTAACATACTATCTTCAGGTGATATTTACTTTTATTTATTTATTTAAAATTGGTTACAAGACCCGAACTCTGAACAATAAATAGAAGAAACTCCTAAACTGCTAAAAGGAACTTGTAAAACTACTACTAACAAAAAGATGCAAAATAATGCTAATAATACCAATGCAAAAACATTATATAACTCTAATCTTCTAGTGCGCATTTAATGATTTAAATAATTACATTAGCCAGCATGACATAAACAGTTCATTAAATACCACAGTTTCCAATTTGTAACTATATGCATTATAATAACAGTCTATTTTTAATTTTGCTAATAGAATCGATTCACTGATCAAAGAAATAATAATTCCAGTTATAAAACCAACATAGCAAGCTACACAAACTAAACAGTAGAAATTAGTGCGTCAATGACAAAGTCACAAGGGCATATAGCGTTGGGAAGATCGGTTCGGAACATTGAATTCGACAAAGTTTACTAGGTAAGCTGAGGGAAGCCAGCCCCGAATCAATTTAACCATAAAAACCATCCCGAACATGTCTCATCCTCTAACCCAGTGACGGTAGTCGCTTCATGTTAAATCTGTTTTCATATGGTGGAAGAATTCTAGCGGGGTCTCACGGCAGATCGCGTAAAGCAAAGAGAAGAAAATTTCCCTGAACAAACTATATTCGATCGACGTGACATTAGTAATAAAGTGTCCAAACAACGGCAGAATATTTCAAAATCGGGCGAACAAGCGCAGTGTACAGACGTTTGCAAACATATGGATCATCAAGTTATTTAGCTCGTCTCTCAATAAAACCCAAAATCGACTTAGCCTTATTAACGGAAAACTAAATCTAAGGCCAATGAAATCAAATAAAACACCCAAAGCTTTAAAGCAAAATACATTCTCCAGCACATGACTATTAATAGAATAATAAGTAGGCAGTGGAAACACCCAAGAGAATGAGATTTTCCTGCATTTACTAAAATTACACGACACACTGTTGGTAGGAATACCAAACGTTCAAAGATGATAAATCATATTGTAGCCCATCAGCGTCGTGCACTAAGTTAATTAAAGTAAAAATTTCCACGTCATCTGCAAACATAAGAGTTTTAGAAAAGCGGACTCTTGAACGAAGATCGATAACGTATAAAATAAATAACATAGGCTTCCGAATAGGAGCCAACGAGTTAGTAATATTGATTTGCCTTTAAGGAAGCCATATTGACATGGTGATAACACTGAATTTATTGTCGGCTGTAATCTCGCAGGTAATAACTCAGGTAGGACACTGAGTTTCATAATGCTTTCATAATTATTGGTGCTGTCTCTAGAGCCATTCTTATAGAAGAGAATAACAAAACTAGTTTTCCACGCTAAGGGAAAGTAAGCAATCTGAAGGCAGTAGTTAAAAATATACATAAAGCGAGTACAACTACGCTGAGCTATGTTATACATGATTTCGCATTCCATACATCAATTTATATCAGAGCAGAAGTCCTTATACGGATGATGGCAAATGGCAAATGGAAACGTAATTGAGTGCTATGGAGAGGAGGCTAATCTTCCAGATTTACAATATAGCTTATGTTTTGAATTTAACGCGATGAACTTATTGAATTACGAGCTTCTCGAACACAAGAAACCATTGTTGAAGAACGCAAGGGATTGAGATTTTGCAACACCTATCAGGAAAAGTTATTAAACTTGTTAGTTGATTTATCAACTCAAGTGACATAAACTGAAGGTAAGTAAAGGCAAAGCCATAATCTGCTTTCACACAGTAACAATGAATCTAGCCGGTTTCAAAGCAAATTCTTTAATGCGAAAAACAGGAATTGTTTCTGCATTCAATTCCGAATTTAAGGAGAGCAACTAATTCCCTTGAGCGCATACAATAGACCGTGAGTGGTCGGGGTATGGTTAACGTATAAGCAGAGAGAAAAAAGCTTAGCTGCCATGAAGTGCAGTTGACTTAGTAGAAGAATTCTTAAAATTGAAGAAGCAGAACAATGCTCTAAGCGGTTATCGCGAATTTAAAAATAAATAATCTGTGCCTCTCATCCGAAGGTCGGAAAATACAACATCTAAATTGTAAAGAGTTGGCCGAGATTGAGAAACGGCATTGCTCGATGAAGTGCGTATTGATAGGGGTGAATCAACAATTTAATTTCAATATTTAGCGCAATTTAATAGCATTGTTGTACAGCTTGAAACATTTTTTTATCATTCTCAGCGTAGAGATGCTTGTACACGAAAATTAAACTCAAAAATAAATTTGATGAGTTTATTTTATCACGCACACGCACGCTTCCTTTTATGATTTCATTTAAGCTGGCTTTCATTCGATAACCGAAGTTTTCAAATCATTGCAGGCTTGGGAAATCCTCATGTGTGTGTGCGACAGTAGTAAAAAGTGTCAATATAACTCATGAATAATTATGAAGAGCCACATTCAAATAAGTATGCGAGTACAATGGTGTAGAGAGGGAGAGAGAGAGAGAGAGACAGAGAAATAAAGAGATAACTGTGCGTATGAAATGCATGTGATATTGTTGTACATTGTTGTCACGTAATGTCAACAAAGGAACTTGTCCAACATAGGGGGAAACACAAACAGCAACAGTAATACAAACTCAGCGATGTTGCCACCCTGCATATGCATATACGTACGTAGTAAATGTACTGAACCATCTGTCAGAGAACAACGATGCGTTATAACTATATGTCTATATGCAGGCATCTCATTGAGTAAATTACGTCCACATTGTCAATTGTTTGTAATTCTTTCGTTTTAATTTCTTCAGCAAAGTTAACACGTACGCCATATGGCTTGTGTACTAAACCAAAAAGGACTCCTGAAGTCGTAACAACAACTCCTAATGATTTATAAAAACTTCGGTTTTGAAAAAGAAAAGTAAACAAATATTAATTATATGTCTTCCTTTTCTCCGTTATAGTCTGGACATTCGCTATATTACACAAGACCGGTGCTGTGCAAGCGATGAACGAATGTTTGTAACTAACAAAAGGAGCCGAAATAAACATGGACTACTAAATCTGAAGATCTGTAATAATCAAAAATTTCCATAAGTAGGCGTTGAAGTCAGTACTTAGAATAAGCTGGAGGTAACAACAATTAGGAATGGTATGTACCTTTCAGACGAGGTACGTTCATAAGCGGGCTCAATAGGGCCATCATCACATGAAATGAATATTATTCGATTAAAGAATAAATCTTTAATTTCAACTTACAATAATATGAGCAGAGGCAAAATGTTGATATAGATGGAGAAGAAAGAATGAAAAGTAAGGAAAGATACCAGTTGCCTAATCGCTCGCACAAAGAATGCCATATATTCGCAGCAGTGATTCGCGATTTATGTCGCTGCTGCGATCCGTTTTACGTTACGCGACGCTAGAAACTAATGTGATTAATAAGCACAAATGGGGAACTAAAGCCACTATTATGTTTACAAAAGAAAGAAAACAGATGTTTTACAGCTTAAACGTCTTTTAATACAGGATATTTTAAGTTTGTGCGAATGCATACAAAATCCACGAGGACGTGAAACAAACACAGTCTTTCCGAATGTCTGTCTAATGTCGGTCCATGAACTTTGAATTCAGCCTACAAGTGCCAAGTTTTCAGACATTTTAATGAATTTTTGGGTATAGGACGTACACTATTGAAAATGATTCGTACGGGGCTACCCCTGCAACCAGAAGAAGAAATATTTTCAAATTTTCGCGATAAATAATCGCTGAGTAATACACATTCGGTATCCTAAATTCATGTGAAACATTTGTGCTGAAGGGGAAAGTCTCCTTCTTACGGGAAATGAATCTGTATATGATAAAAAGGGCTATTTTTCAACGATTTTCACCGAGAACTCATCCATAATAATAGCCTTAAAACAGGCCAAGTAAATTAAGTTTTGTAAATTCAAACACCATCAGTTGCGGTTTTGTGCATGCTCTAATTTGCTGGCTGTCACGAAAAGTAAGCCATTGCATCATCGAAAGATGAGCGGTATATTCATTTCGTCAATACAATGACCACAAGGAAGCTTCAGAGACCCCACAAAGTATATATATTCTTGATTAGCGTAAAATTGTGAATCGATTTAAGCATGTCCTTTTGTTCGTCTGCCCATCTGTGTAATGTCTGTTAAAACAATCTCCTGGCGCAAAAACGAAGCTATCTATTTCACATTTGACAGAAAAATTCTTACCCGAGGTTATTATTAAACATTGGCCAAACCAATGGAAAGGCACGTCCGCAGTACGATACAAAATAAGAACACCTCTGCTTTTTAAAGGAAATAAAAAATTGCTTTTTTGCTCATTACTCATAAACTATAGTAGATAAGTGTACAAAAAACTGAACGCTTACTCTAAAGGCGACGCTATAGTATATGATAAAAATGGGAAAAATTGACCACGCCTACCCAATGTTACAGTGTATCAAAATCTAATTTTTCTTCAATACCCTTATAACGTGCAAAAGTAAATTTCAAAACCTTCTGAGGCAGGTTCAAATCTCGGATGCATTTGAAAATGTCCGTTTGCTTGTCTGTCCACTTAACCGCCTGCCCAACTGTGTAGTGTGTGTGGTAAGCAATCTTGCAAGTGACCTAAACTTTTTTTTTTTTTTTACCAAGTATAGCTAACTTTACTCTGTTTGAGTAAAAATCATAATAATAATAATATTTACAATGATCATTATTATTATTATTATTATTATTATAATAATAATATTTACAATGATTATTATTATTATTATTATTATTTTAATTTTAGACTAATGAATTGAATTCTTAGACTAAAAAAAGAGACATTGAGCACTAGCAACACAGGCTATCGGCTCTAATTTAAATAAATGGATATAAGATAATAAGCTTAGTAGTATTAATAAAGTAAAATATTGAATTGATATTCTGTTCTGAAGTTGATTGTAGAATGTTCAAAGGGTTAATCGTTCCAAATGCAATACTTCTAGCCAAGGAAAAGTTGAGGCAGTCGCAGAGAATGTGCTTTATAGTAAGAGTTTGTCCACAACAGCAGATTGGGGGAGAAGACTTCTTCAGGATCCATTGGTGAGTTGCAATTGTATGACCAAGGCGAATTCTCGAAAATGTTTGGATCTTGGTTTTCTCAACATTTGTTGGATATAGAGGTGGAGTTAATTGAGGGTTAATGCAAGAGTAGTGTTGATGATGGTATTGTAAATTTCCTTCTGCAATTTTCTCTTTAACTTTTCTTCCAATGTATCTTTGAAGATCCAACTTTTCCATGACATCATCCATAAGTAGAGGAGCAGAAGCAGCATACTTTGCCGCTCGATCAGCCTGCTCATTTCCCAGTAAACCGATGTGACTTGGTACCCATAACATTTTAATTCTTCCGTCGGGTGTAGTAATTATATTCCTTAATTTGTTGATGGTGCTCCATCTCGAAGTCGAAGGGTTCCGGGTAGCTAGTAATACAGACAAACTGTCAGTAACAATGACGGTTTTGAGTTTGTTTTTATGGGCAAGGTTGGCAGCGTAAAGGATAGCTCTGGCTTCGGTTATGAAAGTTGAAGTGCTTTCGTGAAATATGTGGTTGAGAAGAACCCGTCCTGTAGCATCTACCACCGCACAAGCAGGAGGCAGACCAGGAGATTTTGAGTCGTCTGTGTACAAAAGATTCCAACGGGTACTGTCCAATACTTGGGTTTTTTCAGCTATTAGATTCCTGAAGACGTAATTTGGAGTATCTTCTTTCTTGTGCATAGACAGTGAGATATCAAAAGAGCAGTCTTTCAAAATCCAGGGAGGTTTAACACCAAAAGAGCGGGAAATTTTTAAGGGAATGTTCAATTCTTTTCCGATGCACAAACAATGGTCAATTGCAGATGGTGACTTTGGAATTTTCTTCGCAATAATAATCTTTCTTACGTCATCACCGAGAATGGATTTGTTTGAATTAAGAAGCTTGGGGACTATTTTAGCTTTTAACTCATACAGTCTATTTTCTAAGGTTGGGAGACCAGTTTCAATTATAATATTATTTATGGGCGTCGTCCGAAAAGCATAACAACTTGCTCTAACGGCTTGGTGATAGACCGGTTTAAGGATGTTGATATTAGATTTGCAGCTATTGCCATAAATTATCAAAGCATAGTCAATCTTGCTTAACACAAGCATTTTGGTAAGATAAGCGATAGTGTTAATATGCGCATGGCTTTTCCAAGCAACATACTATATGAAATTTACCTTTGTTAAAATAAAATTTTTTAACCGAAGACATTGTATTTTCTAACAATATTTTTTGGAAAACGTGAGTCGGAGAATGTGGAGTGTCTGCACGTTTAGTACTGGTAAGACATTAATATGCATTAGTAGATTTCCTGCATCACATATCTGCATTCGACAAATGTGAATTTTTTTTTTTTGATTTTTGTATAGAAATTTCAGCGCTTGGCGTGTTTGCCCATGAGGAGATCTCTCGTTTAATAGATTCGAGGATGTTGATTGCCTTCGCGCTCTCTTTTTCTTTTGTAATAATGTATACATCGTCCACGTAGAGACAATGTGTGTTTTTCGGTACACGGAAGACATAATAGCAGCATCTTGGTTGCAGTGCCCGTTAAATGGCTTCGAATTCAGAAGTGACTCGGCCTGTTTGGAGTAATTGATCCAATCCGCTTTATCTAGGAGGAATTTGGCAACTACCGGGAAATAAATCCACCTATTGAAAAAATCAAAACAATAGCTCCCATCTCTAGTCAACAAATTACTAGATGTAAAGAATCAAATCTTTCATCCCTTAATTAACATTTAATTTCAAATTATTCACGTGCGCCCACGCGTTGCACTTCAAATGTACGCAACCACCTAAGTACAGATTGTTCTGCTGGTAAGATTAAATTATTCACGCAAAATTCCTACAGCAGCCTTTTCGACGGAGACGCTGACATGTCAATTTAACCCACCTACCTCCGTTTAATGTCACTACAATTAAATAAAGTTTTTAGAATTCTACAATGGAACATTAAGGGACTTATTAATAACTTTGATGAACTCCGTGTACTCATAAGTGATTTTAATCCAACCTATACATACCTTCAAGAGATCCATTGTAGAAGTACTTTTAATCCTATTTACCCCAATCATTACGTACTGTGTAATTCGTTAATGCTGATCAAAATTCCTTTTCTAAACAAGAGGTTGGTGTTTTTATATAATCAAATATACCTCACAAACGCGTACAAGCCGTAGCCAATACAAATAATCTTAGACATAAAATTTACAGTGCTTTCACTCTATATCTCACCTTCGCAATCATTTTCTCAATAAAAAATTTATGATTTATTCTCCATACTTTCCTCCCCACTAATTATACGCGGCTAGAATACCATCTACGGCTCAACAGTGAACAACAGTCGTGGTGCTGTTTTAGAAAAGGCCTTCATTCAAAGTAATCTCTGCATTTTAAATGGTCGAAAGCTAAGTAACTTGCTGTTTTCATTTTTAGAATATCATGCATTTGTATAAAACGTGAGCATTGTTCATCTAATGCCGAGTGTTGATCATTGCAATTTATGCAGAAACTACGGTTACAGCTTTCGGCGTGTGGAGGAAGACCATGGTTAGCACAAGATGGAAAACTGATGCACTAAATTTAATTTATATATCGATTCTAAAATCTCATAAACAAAATAAACAAATTAAAATAAAACATATATAAAATAAAAGGATTCCTAGACATATTTCGTTTTCCAAATAAAATTCAACATTTTCGTCTATATTATGCATTCACGCACTTACACTACGCAAATAGGTAAGTAAGAAGGTCAAGGTTTACTACCGTTTTCATAAAAAATGTTCATACATATAAATAACAAATAGGATAAAAAAAATTCGATTATTTTTTTTGTTTTGGCATAAAAGCTCGCGCAGGATGGATATTTTCTATAAAGTAATGCTCAGGCATATCGCGCTTTTTTAACCATTACCACAGATGTGGTGTCTTGTATAAAGCAATATGTGTAAGCACAGTTTAAGATAATGAATTCAAATCCATCCGAAGCCAGTACTATTCCTTCACCTATTCTCGCTATTAAAAGCATATTCCTAGTTTCAATTCATAACCCATTTGAAAACAAATTTATTTCATGTTTAAAATAGAAGGTCGACTGAAATCTGAAATATTTTTACTAGCCGTTTCCGAAAAAAATATCGTTTTTGAGGTTTGACTGCGTTTTTACTAAATGTTTATTGAGTGAAGTAGCTTTGCGCCGTTTTTAACATACTTGCTTTTGTGGAGTGATCGTCGTGATTAACATAATTGTACAGGCGCGTTTATTGGACTGCATTGCATAGTTTAACATCTCTGTATTTACATACTAACATATGGTGTTACTATTTGAATTTTTGAGACATATGTTATTGTTCTGTTCTTTCTCAATTGTAAACAAATTCAAGCTCGCTCACTTAATTACTCTCAGATGTTTCCAAATTCAGAGTCACCATTGTAATCAAACAAGATCAAATTCAAGCTCGCTTTTTCCATTCCTTTTCTATTCTTTTTCATCTGCGCAGAACAGTTAGAGCTGGTCTCAAATACCTAATTCAATAAAGAACACAAGATAATAGACAGTCTTGATTAATGTTGCTGTTATTGTTAATATTATGTGGCAATATTTGTATTTTATATATTCATATGTTTTGCCCGCCATATATTACAGACAAACTTTGTTAGTCATATGTATCCTGATTCGGTATGTTTTTTATTAAAAATTTTAGTGCATCGACATTAACGTGATTTTTTGATTTTCATTCTATATTTATTTAAAAATTGATTTTAATCATTTTTAGTCTCACATTTTTGTTCATTGCGCAATGCCACATTTCTTAAGAAAAAGGTGAAAATCCACTTATAATAATTGTGTAAATAATAATAGGATAGCAGCAGCAAGCAAAAAAGCACCTTTTATAGGCGCTTCCGGGAATCGCGTTGAATATCTTTAGTGTCTCGTCTTTTAACCATACGTTGGTGATCAAAACTTATATCGCCTTATAACGTTATGTTGCGTTTCCTTAAAATGTGGGTTT